CTGTTTGTCTTTTAATTGTTTGCACTTAAGTCGTTTGTTTGTTTGTTTGTTTGCTTGTTCGTCGTCTGGCTTGTCTGCCTGCCAGGTTATGACTTTTGTGAGAAAAGTCGTTAGGAGAGCGCTCAAGCAAATTACAGCCACAAAGTATGAGGCTTTTTTCGGTGGCATAATGCCGGCGGTGTGGGCTATTCATGAAATCATGTTTTTGGACATAAAACGAAAAATGCCATGCTCAGAAATTCCTAAGATAATTTATTCTCTAGCTAAATGCCACAAAATTTGAAGACACATTCTGTTTTGGCCACATATAACATTGATATATCTGTAGTAAACTACCATGAAGAAAAACTACCAAATACCAATTCTTTTCAAGCACACCAGACCCAAGCATAGAGCCGCATATATTTCCCATCTGAAACACCTGCAATCAAATGCAATGCCAATTGACTTATCTGTGCGGTTGTCCACCGCCAGACTGAAAGTCCGGACTCCGGAAAATCCTTCTTTCTTTTCACATACCAGCGTTCGATCCTCCGACCTGCAATAACCAAATGTTTGCCATGACAAACAACAACCAGGGCCCGGTCAAATGCAATCCGAATCCTTAACCTTAACACTTGGGTAAATTGATACACACATCAAAGTTGCGTTGCAATAGCCTCAAATCTTTCCGTAAATCAAGCAAAATGCAAATTTCACTAAAAGCTGAGGCATTTTCCGCAGGAAAGCGGAGACCGCAAAACCCGAAACCCGGATCCGGAAAAAAAAGGGGGAAAGCCAAAAGCGAATGGCGAAGGGAAAATTGTTGTCCAAAATGGCTGCCAGGTAAACGGACATCGGTGAGGACGCCGAGTGACCAAAAAGGTCCGTTCCCCACCGCCCCCGAATGCCATATTTATCACTTGTATCCCGGCATAGCTTCTCACCCGTCCATTACCAGATTTGGTTTTTGAAATCGCATACGAATGTTGGCCAATTGGATCGGGTTAGCCAAAGGAGTTAGTAGTTTGGCCTAGAATGTAATACGTTATATCCGGTGAATATATCTTTTGTAAAAAATATTTAAAAAATGGTTAAATATTTCTTAGAAAACTATCTTAAATCATGCAGAAAATTTAAATAAAAGTCTAAGGAAATAGTTTAGAAATTAAAAAGATATCAAACTTATCTATCTTGAATGCCTGTCGATTTTAAAGAAACTTTCTTTTTATTTAAAATGGAAAACTTGGCAAGTTGATTTATCGAAATGCTGGATCAAAGGTATTTCACAGTTCCAACTGGACCTGCTAAATGCAATTTTCCTTGCCATAAAATTGGTATTTATTAATCCCCCTCGAGGTCGAAAACAGGACCAAAACTCTTCTCGATTTGGGCTTATTTAATTAAACAAGGAAGCAGGCGTGTTTTATTTCAATTAGCCGTTTCCTCCCGGGGCGAAAGGAAATCGCCGTAGCCAAAGTGGAAGTTGCAACGCACAAAAACCTGTGCAACATAATTAACTGCATGCAACAATTTTCCAGCCACGCCTAACTGCTGCCTGCCACTGCACTGGTGACTGGTAACTGGTGAAAGTGGCAGTCGAAGGGTGTCAGCGGGGGGTCAGGGGTGAGACCATGGTATTAAACCCACTTCGCTGGGGTTCGTTTGCCCCACATGCAATGTACGAAAATGGAAATCTGCATTTAATTTATTGATGCAACAACGGCAACAGCCAGGACGGGACGAATGCGGCTCTGGATGAGGATTTTCGCCTAAATGTATGCAGCGTAAAATTGTTAAATGCGCGCTCAATCTGCATATAGGCGTGGATGCCGAGCCACGCCTCCAGTGCCACAACGCCCACCTCCTTTTGGTCGCCGTGGCACCCGTCGAGCTCGCCGCCTGCATGTTGCCGCCGAAATTGTTTCATTTCCCCATTAAAATGTACAGGCGAAAATGTTAAACACTTTATTGGTGGGCGGGACTGGATGGAGCTGTAGGTGTGGCCGGAGGTGTCTACCTCCGATTGTTGCGGCTGTTTGCCACGTTAGCATATCTGTTTTTCATGTTCGCAGCGCTAATCGGGCCATGCCCGTCTGTTCTGCTTGTCTGACTCGATTTGGGGGATGTCCTTCCCCCATCTATGAAGCGCTTCCTCGCTGCCTTTCTCATGGCCAAAAGTGGCAGTCCACATGGGTTCATTTTAGACGCCAGACAAGTGCACGTCGCACGTTGCAAGAAATGAATTTGGGATTTATTGCACTGACTCGCACGACGACGTTACAGATAAAACTAATGGCTTGAAATATTATCCATAAGATACTTCAACAGGTGCACCTATCTACTTAGTTTAGTGGCAGTTTTAATTTTACAATTTAAATCCATATTTGTAGTCAAAAATATATAGCTGCAAACCATGACTAGTTTTTGAACAGAATACCGGCAGCTACAAAATAGAAAACGAGTTAGTGTTCCGTTTGAATCGAATTTGTCGTCAAAGAACCTTATTGAATAATGCTTTTTACAAAATGTGTACTTGGACTTTTTCATATTTTTTCTATGCACAGTTTTTTTCATACACATATGTATCTCACTCTGGTCATTTGCTGTTTTTAGTTTTCAACATTGAAACTTTTTGGTGTCTTTGTTTACTTTGGTTTCAGTTCAGCCGCCTGCCTTTGTGGGGAGCCTGTCTCCAATCCTCTATCCTAATATAACTAGTATTCTGGCTAGCGGCCAGATATCGGCCCCAGCCTCTATATAAAGCCATATATATTTGTACAGCCGTCTCTGAACCGAATCGAATCACCCTCCTGTGGCAGCGAGTGGAGTAAAGTTGAGTCGCAACCTTTTTGATTAGATTACGCAACGTAAAACTGGTTTGCAAATTGAATAAATGACTTTTGCGTTGCCAATATAAAACGTGTTTGAAATTTTTGATTAGGTAAACACACACAGGACGCGATTTTAGACCTTTCAGGCGCACCAACAGAAACATAAAAAAAATAGAAAACAACAAACAACAGCGGCGACAAAATGAACCGAAATGGCAAAGGCCCAGGACATGGAAGCCAAAATGTTCCGGACGAACTGCGATTTTTCCCGAGTCACTTTAGAGAAGGAACCCTGCGAACCGAATGTAATTTTTCAATTTTGTTCGGTGGCTATGGGCGGCTTTGTGGTAAACGTGTTTTTTCGGAAACAAGAGGGGTCCAATTAAAATTCATTAAGCGTAAATTAACATTGAAGTCGGTCATCATAAATTAACTGCCCAGAATCGGGCCATTAGGGAGAGCAGGCCAATTGAATGGGTATTTGTGATGCTAATCAGATCCTGGAGTTTAACAAGGTTGCCATAATAATTTTAGTTTACTAAAGTGGGTTTTAAGGCAATATATAAACCATTTATACGAGAAATGAATATTTATAAAGAAGTATTTTCTAAAAAAGTAGTTTGAAAGATGATCTCATTATTTAGAAAGTGCATTTCGAAAATTACGTTTAAGAATGCAAAAGAACTCGATGTTGCCAAGTTTCAGAGGCGTTTAAATCGTGTAAGCTCGATTCCAATTCCAGCTTTAATGAGCTGTGTAATATTTGCATTTTGTTCACACCATGAAGCACTAATTTCTAGAGGACTTCCAGAGCCAGAGCCAGAGCCAGCGCCAGCGCCATCGCCAAGAAGTAGGCGACGCTTTATTTTTCTTGGCAGAATGCCGTGCAACAAATGTGCCGCAATTGCTTTAGCCTTTCTGGCCGAACACTTTTTCCTGCCAGCTTGGCAATCAAAGAAAGGAAATAGGAATCGGAATCGGAGATACAAGGGACAACGACGGCGACATAAATCCATTACAGATTGTGAATGCGGAATAAATCAGTGGCCATAATTCAATATTAAATCACTCAAACGCCAGGTTAAACCAATTCCAAATAGTGAATGCATCTCGGGTCACAACAAGCAGAACAATTAGTGTGTCACTCACTGCGGCGGAGAAAGCATGTAAAACGACGAATGGAAGTGAAATGAGAAATGGGAAAATGGCTTTGGCTTGGCTTGCATGCAGGCTCCGCTCTTAGCCAAATGAAAACCTCAAATGTGAAAGCCCTTTCCACTGGCTGGATGCTGGCTGGGTTCAGTTGCTGCCTTGGATATCTCTGCCTTCTCCGGCAAAGTCAACAAAATATTTCAAAATAATAAATGTGTCCATTGGAGCTGGGATCTGCTGTGGTGTAGCAGCAGCAGCAGCTTCAATGACAAAGTGCTTGCAAACGCACAATATTTGTCTAGGTCATGCATATCACAATCCGGTCTGCAGGACGGCGAAGCTTCAGGGACAGGTGAGCCAAAGGCGGGCTGCAGACCGGGAGGGAGGGACTGAACACCTCATTTTCCTATCGCAGCGATTTCAATCCAGTTTGCCAGTTAAATGCAAACAAAACACAAAGGCAAATACACAAAACGCAAGACATATTAATCAGTGCAGGGACAGGTGTTGGGACAGGGTCAAGTGAGGGGAGGAAAGCGAGAGACCGATAGATGTACAAGCAATTTCCAGCATTGGCTTCGGTTGGCCAAACAAATAAATTGCAATTTGTGTAATCTTAACACCTAGAGGCCAAAATCAATGGAGAACAAAGTCCTCCAAGTCACACACTGTCGCAGTTGGACACACACACCCACATACTAACACACATGAGTGTAAATATATGCGTTAAGGTATCAGGTGTTTGGCAAAATATTTACAATCAAGCACAAAGCCAGAAAATGCATTGGGACTCTACGGCATTGTTCTACGTGGGCACTCCATGGTAAGGGAAACGATTATACGATTAGGATTAGGACGAGAGGCTCAGAGGCATGAAACATTGCTGGTTCTCAGATCAGAAAGGTACATATAATATTCTCCGATCGCAAAGTAATCAGCAATCATAAAAATACAATAAAAATTGAAAAATCAAAGAGCCTCCTTCTGCAACACATTTAAGGAAAATAAAGTTTATTAAAGTTTGTTGTAGGCGGCCCAAATTAATTAATTGTAAAATGATTAAATGATTAGTTTTGAAGAATTCCATTTATAAGTAATCCTTAATCCATTTTAGATTCCTTACAATTTTTTCGAATACAACATAATTTCCATTTTCCTGGTAGCTCCATATACCCAATAAAAAGTATTGGTTCCTCTCGGTGGGACAGACTAGAGGTGCTCCCTTAAGATTCCTGTACGGATAAGGGATAACACGTGACTTGATCATTGCATCACGTCCATTAATGGCTGCTGTCTTTGTGGGTATGTCTAGTTTAAGAACAATGTTTTCCTTTGGATCAGACATAGAATATTTATTTATTTTCCATCCTGTGGCAAAACATCTAGTAGTGTTGAGCTTCGAGCTGCCGAGGTCATGGAACATGCAGATGGGAACTATATGCCTAGTTCGCGAAAAGGCGCTCTCCAGGATAAGTAGGACTAAGTTGTTTTTCAATGTTGTCGAAACATACTTTTTGTGAATAATGATATCTTTGACTAGACGGTTTTCGTGTGGGACTATTTCGTTAGTCGATAGAAGGTCCCAGTCGCCGCCACTCACCGTGAGGTTCCCATTTAAAGTCAAGCAGTTGGCCGCCGACAGGACTACTGTGTGGCTAATCAGGACACCGTTGCAGATGTGTTTTGATTCCGAGTCCAGAATGGCAACTACCCAGGGATACTGCGCAAAGCTAGTTTCTTGGTTTTTGCTTTGTACGGTCATGTAAAGACCATCTTCATTGGTAATGCCGCACTGATCATGTGTTAAATCGACATCAAGTGGGGGGCTCTGTAAATTCAAAAAAAGAGTAAAATTATTCAAAATATTTTCCATGATGCTTACTGATTCTATAATTTTGCTTCGCTCACAGCACGTTTCCAAATAATGGCACTCGCCTCGTGGTTTATTTAAATCAATGTTTAGTTTTGGAGTACGAATCCCTGTTGCACACTGGTTTAGTTTTACACAGAATTCATTTATCATTGACCTGCACGGTTTTGCAAATATGGGATTTGCAGTGGTTGTAGTTGTAGGTGCATATCCGATAGGGTCGCCACCAATATCGTATTCATAATCAGATTCATTATATTCATCTCCAACTGATAATCCGAAAAGATTCCCATTTAATAGAATCAATAGAAGAAGAACTTGGGTTTTAGGAGTTTTTCTCATTTCAAAAATGTTTTCTTTCAAAAAACTACAATTCAGAGCGAATGATTATCGACGACTGTATCGCATTAAGAAATTCTCACAAATGTGATTATACAAGCGAACACCAGACGCATTAAAGCTGGACCCAAATTTCCACTTATATATAAAACAAATATTAAAACAGAAAAAATGAAAAAATTCTTTAAGAAAAAGAATTGGGGATCACCCCAGAAAAAATACTTATAAATAATCATTCCCAAAAGATAACGCGGGGCAAACCGAATACATTTTTTACGTCGCCCCTCGATAACCTAAACGATGTGTCTAATATGAAAATTTCTAAGAATTTCAAAAATTTTTATAATCAAATTCGTTCCAAGAACTTAATAAAAAGTTGCTTCCTTTAAGTTTTGCTTAGTAATTTGCTTAGTACATAGTCCCACTTTGTTTTTTATTGACAGCTTTTCCTAAAAAGAACTAATTAGACCACAAGCTAACATAAAACACTAAAAAGATATTATATATTTTGAAGCTTCTATTTTTTCTTCTGAATTTTCATCTTTAACCCATAAAAAGACCATTTATTCTAGCCCATAAAGCCAACGTTTCGATGGAGAATCAACACTCTAAGATGGCCCTGAGGCCAGAGCACCAAAGGGTCTAACCAGAGTGCTTAAGTGCCTAAGCGCTCCATGATGAATGCAGGCCCGACTTAAGCTTAACCCTAAAAGCGCATTTTTTAATTTCGGATCCTTGCCACTTGCCACCAACTCCTCATCCTTTTAGCAACTCTTTCCGGTGAGGCTTAAAAGCTTTAAAGGAATTTATTGCAAACACTTTAAGTATTTTTCGTGCAGCTTGGCGATGTTTCTGCTCTTTATATATTCCAGTATATGTACATACGTATGTATGTAAGGGCAAAAATTATTCGCTTGGGTGTAAAGTGAAAGCAGCTAGAAAAACAACAAAACACTTGCAATGAGCAACAGTAAATGGCATCAACGGAACGAAAGTGCTGGAGAAAGTGGAGAAATGCGTAGGTGTGCGTGTGCTGAACGTTATTTACAATGAGAATTTTATGGCGAAAACATTGGCCAGACCCGACGCCAGTCCGGGCCACATTTTAGCCGTTGCAGCCAAGCCTTTCAATATCTTCACACTTTTGTTTTTAGTTGTAATGCTTTCTCCATGCATGTGCCATCGCCAACGACATATGCGATGAGAGTTTTGTCTCAAAAACGCAATACAATTGCACTTAATGGCCCTAGTCCTGTGCCTTGCAAGTAAATTGCCTCCGAGGTTGCTTGGCTCCAGCTGCCTGGCAAAAGAAAAATGGCCAAGCCACTACACATCGACGGAGTTGAAAGGACACCAGGCAACAGGACCTTGACAATCTGGCCTGAAATGTACGAGCTCTGCTTGGAGTTTTCCCCAGGAATTTATGGGAATGGTAAGCACAAGGAAAATATTTACACATTTGCTTTCACTATTGTTTTTAATGATTTTGCAGAAGTTTTTAAATTAGTTACTGGTTTGAAAGCGATGGAAAGTAAATAAATGATTAGTTAAATGATTTACGGTCCAGGTATCGCCATTCATAATTAACAAATATTTAACCTCAGCACTTTCCCAGCTAATCGATTTTATCGGTCCAGTGTTTTCATTTCAAAGCCGCAATCTTTTTTTGTTGTTCTTTTTTTTCGTAAGCCCGCGAATTAATTATCAACTTTTTCTCATGGCCTTAGTTTGTTTTTTTTGGCAATATGCAAATATTTTGCAAGGAATTTGACACTTTGGCCGTCCAGGGAAAATCAGTGCATTCTTTTTATCCAAAGCAATAAATAAGTTATTAGGAATTTCCACAAAAAGGTACAAATAGGAAAAATTTACGGTTTTTGTACATTGTCAAAGTTTAATTAATTTTCACATTTGTGCTTTTGTTTTTGTTGGCAAAAATTAAAAATTAAATTCCTGTAAAAAGTAGAATCAAACCAAACATTGACAATTGCAAAGGATACATTGTAAAAAGTGGAAAAGCTTAAAAAAAATCCAGTCTTTGAACGAATTTTTATTTTGACGTTTTTGTATCGGTATAAAGCGTTGTTGGTTTTACGTTTTTGACGTCCCAGGTATTCTTTCGCCTTTATTTCGCCTAATTAATGTCGTCTATAAGCTCATCAGGCAACGGATAAACATTAAACGAACTCAAACTGCATTTCAATTGATTTATGTTAATTACTGTTTAACAAAATACGCCTGACTGATTGCTAAATTGATTTTAAATGATATGCAAATACAGAAAAAATCAACTCGGCCACATAAAAAAGGAAATCATTCAACGCGCCAATGACGATAATGACAATCTATTTTATCGCACTGATTGCTGTCGGTGTTGCAATTATATGCAAAGAGTTAAAAGTGAGTTGGAAAAACGGTGAAAATGGTTCGAAATGGAAAGCTAACCGCAGTATTTGTTAACATTGATTGCATCCTTTTGTTCGAAAAAAATGCCAGAGCTTAGGTAGGAAAGCTTTTGCTAATTTCAAGAAATTTTTAAGGTAATATTACACAGAGGTAGTTGATCCATCTAGTACATCTATTTGACCTTAATAAAAACGTTGTAAAGTTTACAATGGTCGAATTAAGCGGCCAGATCGTGTTTCATCTGGTATCGGGTAATGAAGGATGAGTAATTAAGGACTTCTATCCTATGTCGGCGATTAGGTTATGATGGGGGCCCGACAATAGGCCCTATTGACTTGTTGTCGGGGACTCAGCTGTCAAGAACAGCAACTTGGGGGGGCTGAGATAATGTCCTGCTGCGTCGGGCAGGCATTCCTGGGTTTCAGGCCTACCAATGCTCTGTTTCACGGCGGGAAAGCAACTTGCAGCCGACTTGGCCCCAAAATGCAGATGCGTGTGTGTTGGTTTTGTGTCTTGGCCGAATGCCAGCACACAAAACTTGCCATAAATCCAGTGGCAGCATATAATTAATAAGGATTAATTGTGCACCCGAACTTGTGCAGCGACAATGTCACACACAAATACAGATGCACACCAAGACAAAGGCCAACACAATGTGTGGTATGAGGGGCATGGGAAGCTGGGGGCAAATGGAAATGGTATGGCCGCAGTCACAATTTAATTAATTAATAGCACAACTTTAGGCAACCTGCATGAGTGTGTAAGTGGGTGTGTGTGCTTAGTATCTGAGTGCAAAGGGAAATTTGCTGGGAACCGATAAGCAAAACTCGAACTCAGAAAATTATTTCCGGCATGTGTTTGTGGAAGAAATATTCTTGTAAAATGTTTGCCTTAATTAACAGATTCGGATCATGGCTCTTTATTAGAAAGCTAATTGCCAAAATACTAGCATTCCGTAAAGTAATATTGAATCAAATTATATGCATATGCTGCTTCAAATTATATATTTTGTAAGGGAGAGCGTAGAACCACAGGGTCATGGGGTACTAGCGCCACCTAGCGGGAGGTAGCTGCTGCAAGTGGCAACATTATATCCTAATTTATCGGGAATCTGCAAGACTGCATTTTCGTTAACGTAGAGTCTTCTACGAATCCCAGCTCTAGCCCCGGCAGGAGGCCATTGCTAAACGCTCCATGCTTTCTTTTCGAAACCATACCTTGACCTGAAAGGTTGCATCTAGAGAAAGGTCCTAAGCTGCCATAAAAGGAATAGAGTCCCGATCCGTGTCTCATTTTTTTTTTGCGAGGGACGAGGCTTATTATTGTGAAACAGTGGACAGTGGAAGCGTTTTGGCCAGATTCTGGCCCAATTACATAGTTTTTCCCCAGACCCATAAGGGTAAGTTCGGATGAGGTGCAGAGCAAAGCAAGTGAATATGCTCTCACACAAACATTTTTTTTGTTCTTATCTCAGGTAGGGAACGGCGTCTTCAAATAATCTTCAAATAATCTCTGCCGTGGAGACAAAAACGAGCAGAGCAAAATTGATCCCCGCTCCAAGCTCAGTTTATCTTTGGCACGGTCTCCGTACGGTTCGTCGGGCACATAATTCCCGGTTTGGGGAAGAGGGGACAACTCCCCCCAAAACCACATGGCGATCTAAGCGTTATAAGTTTCCTAAGAGAACCCAAATCGTCGTCGGGAAATCAAAGTTTTTATTTTATTTATTTTTAAGTGTCGCAACCAATGAATTAATGCAGAAATGAAGAAATAGTGGGAAAAAACCCTCCCTTTACAGTTAACCGCAAATAATAATGTAGTCTTAAAAACCTCAAAAATCCAAGAAAAGTAGAAAAATATTTGCAAATATTCTTAATAAAAAACAAGAAAGGAAAGCTAACTTCGGGCGGAGCCGAAGTTTATATACCCTTGCAGCTAAAACCGGATATATATCGCAAACATCGGATATAGTTGGCCGATCCTTATGAAATTTGGTAGGATGGATCAAAATATAATCTGTACCAAGTCCCAGCTTTCTATCTTCAAAAACACAAAAGTTGGGTCATTTCCGATCGTTCAGTTATATGGCAGCTATAGGATATAGTCGGCCGATCCTAATGAAATTTGGTAGGTTGGATCAACTAACCAAAAATAGAGTCTGTACTAAATTCCAGCTTTCTATCTTCAAAAACACGAAAGTTGGATCATTTCCGATCGTTGAGTTATATGGCAGCTATAGGATATAGTCGGCCGATCCTTATGAAATTTGGCATGTCGTATTATTTTGCCAAAAATAGCTCTCATGTCAAATTTGAACTCTCTAACTCTAAAAACACCAAAGTTATACCATTTCCGATCAATCAGTTATATGGCAGCTATAGGATATAGTCGGCCGATCCCGGCCGTTCCGACTTATATACTGCGTGCAAAGGAAAGAAGGGTGTGTGCAAAGTTTCAAGACGATAGCTTTAAAACTGAGAGACTAGTTTGCGTAGAAACAGACAGACGGACAGACGGACAGACGGACAGACGGACAGACGGACATGCTCATATCAACTCAGGAGGTGATCCTGATCAAGAATATATATACTTTATAGGGTCGGAGATGTCTCCTTCACTGCGTTGCACACTTTTGGACAAAATTATAATACCCTCTGCAAGGGTA